CCCACCCCACACGCCCTTGCCCCCCCCCCCCCCCCTTTTTTAAGCGCCGACAACTAGTTAATAGCAAACTAAAGAATAGTGCATTTCTATGGTAGGAGAACTTGAAGATTCTTATACATGAAGAAGAGAAAAATAAAAGCACTACATTATCTAAAGATACATATCAATTTATTAAAGACATGATTTTCAAATCCTTGCTAAAAAGTGGGAGATAACATCATTGGATGACCGCCATATCTTAAAAACAAAGTACAACCCTAGAATCAAATAACTAGAGCACACTCAATGGAGCATCTAAGCCGACCACACATGCTTAATAACTAATTCAGAGTGAAGAACAGTTAGAGCCAAGCATCATTCTCAAATTCATCCCAGCTAGAAAGTGCATCAAGTGCTACCGTTTAGGGCATGGTGCATCAGATTGCCAAAACAAGAGAATGGTATATTTCACTGAACAAGAAGCAGTTGAATAAATGGATAATGACACAATAGATACTTGAGAAAGTGAGAACACAAAGGAAGAGTATCAGCTACCAACTAATGAGGGATAGATATATGTAATTCAAACTAAGCTCATGAGAGATACCCTAACGGGATTAACAGTTGTTCTTGAAAGGAGTGAGTCTAGGGTAATGGAAGTTCATACAAAGTATAAGATTGTGATACCACAAGTTACATTTTTTCCGGCGTTGAGAGGAGCACCAACAGGATTGACATTGGATATCCAAAAAAGCCATGAGTTTAAGGAGTCGATACCAGACACGGGGCAACACAAAATAAGAGAATTTCAGAATTTTCAAATATATAACCTACCTTCTAAGTTGCCCCTATTGAAGGAGATAAAACATGTCAGAGATGAGAAGTGTTTGAGCTACTTCTAGAAGACTATAGGAAGTCATTTGAGTATTAAATTCCAATCAACAATGTACCCACCTACAAATAGTCAAATAGACAGATGAACTGTAGTGTTAAAAATAGCCTTGGGAGCTTTTGGGGAAGAAACATCCTACAATGAGCTCCAGGTCCTTCCAGAGAAGAATGGGCCTCTTTTGAGTGAATACTATTGAGTTGCTCAGCCTGCCACAAATTTCAATCCAGAGTTAGTTCCTCCAGACGAATTTATTTATCAAATGCGTCCTACCGAGTACGAGAAATAGAGGAGGCAAATTATAGATATAATGACTTTAGAGTTACTTTGTCAGAATCTACGTCTATATATAGTTACAGCTGAGGTAATGCCAAAAGAAGAGCAATGCTTATTCTATCAGTATGTGTTTTAGAATGACAACGCTTATATGATTGATCTATCGGAAGATTATAATATTTTCACCTCCTACAATATGCCCAACCTGACTCCTTACTATAAAGAAACAAAAGCTTCGACAGATGGAGCTCTCCAACTCCGGGAGACTAGCAAGAAGCGAGCAATTGACAAGAGAGGGGGCGTCCGATACCTCCTGCGGCCCGGACCGATTTTGTCCAAAGTCTATGAGAGCTAGTCAGCTATTTCTATGGAAGTACTGCCCCTTTCTAATAAAGTGGGCCACTTCTAATTATCATATTATTATAAATTTGCTTTTCTGAGACTCTACGATTAGTTTTTGTCATGAGTTTTGTTTGGGATAGTTGTCGACGTCTCCAATTTTCCAGTTTATATGCTTATATCTAAGGGTTGAGTCGTGATGATTTATCCCTTCCCAACTCTTCCATATACCTCCAGCTGCGCTGCCACGCATTCCCCTCCCCCCCCCTGCTACAACCACCCAAAGCAGAACTCGTTTGTTGTTTTCCTAGAGATTTAACCTGCCCAGCCTCCCTCTTCACTACCATCACTGTTCCAGTCCTCCACCTTCATTGCCGCTCCTGTACAACCCTTCCACTTTGCTGCCATTGAGGTCCCAACCACCCTAAACCAGCTGCCATCCGCTCCTTCGTCATTTCCTACAGCCACCTGACTTCCCAGCCGCCCCTATCACCCTCTGTTGTGGTTGCCTTGCTGGCCCTGAAACACCTACCTACTGTGGTCCCTCCACAGCCACCGAACCCTCCAACTGTTGTTGCCACCACCCTCCATACCCCATAAAACCAATCTAATTCACCTAACCGACCTTCACCAACCCTGCATCACACCCTAGTGTGAGTTTGTGTGTCGTGTTGTTGCTAGTCCTATTTCTGTTGTGTGAATGTAATTCCCTATTTTGAATTCAGCAATACTATTTGATTTTTCTGTTGTTGTTTGGCTTAACTCCAGTATCATTGTGATAAGAAAGAAAGCTGTAGAATTCACAAAGAGCTGTCAGCTCCAAGGAATTTTACTTCACCATGTCAATCATTGAGACCATCTCTCATGGCATCTTTATAGCGCCATTACGTCCTCGTACACATGAATTATTTCACCAAGTAAGGCTAAGTTCATAGCTTATCACATTTATATATATATATATAATAC